GACATTTCATGCCTATGAACAGTCCATCGTATCTGGACCAAGAAAACACACATAAGAAGCTCAAGAATAAAATGGTCAAAATATGGGTTTGTAAACGTCAAACGTGGGTTTTTTTTAACGTTGGAATATAAATTATTACAAATTATTATAATAATTACATAGACGATCTTATCTACTTGTATTAGACTGATATCTTATGGTATATAAATATATTAATGAATCTTTCACCCGTCCACGGTCTATTAAGACTTTTTGGAACACATGGAACATGGAAACACTGGTGTGATATCTTCTGACTAATTTCGATGCTCAAAGTAGTAGTTATACGATGAGATTTGATTGGTAAATATATAAAACATCGTTCGCCAGAAAATATAGATATTTTGTTCTTCACTGAGCCGAAAAATTGATTCGCAGTGCAATCTGGTAATGATGGGATCTATTCCGGTAAAACGAGAAGAAATATTTAATTCTCATACGCTAATTAAGTAGAGAGTATGTTTTTAGCAAGAAAACGTGTGTTCCTTTATCGAAAGGGGAATGTGATCAGCTTTTTTGTAATAAAATTAATTCCTAACAAAAGAAACAATCATTCATTTGTATACATAACCGTGAAAGTTGAGTTGAACAAAAAAAAAATTGCAAGAATAACCAAAAAAACTTAATAATTGGGAAAGTAACAAAATTAGCATATGTGGTTACAATATCAATTTTTAAATTTAAGTTAAATGGTTATAATTTTTATTATAGTTTTTTTTTTGTTATCAGATGAAAATTTCCAAGAAAAAAAAACCGTGAAAGTTTTTTTTCTAGGTTTTAATTGCGATTATGAGAAAAAAATTACTATTTTTGTGATGGTGTCACTAATTAGAAATTGGGAAATTTGGAAAATTGCCCTATATTAAAATTAAGTTTTTTCCAATACACTTTAAAGTGTTTAGTGTTAAATTGCCCTATATTAGAATTAAGTTTTTCCGGGACCATTTGTTATATTTTAAAACTAACATTTTATGGAAATATAGGGCAATTTTCCAAATTTTAGAATTATATTTGTACAACAATAGAAGTTTGCGACAGAAAAATGATTATAAATTATAATATTAACTTTAATTTGTGACAATATCTTTTAGT